GCACGCAAACGGAAAGGGGAAGTTCGCGTTCTCAAAGCCAAGAAAACTTAAATTAACTTCTTGCCACAGTCATTAGTTTATGGAGAGTGCTTGTAAATAATTTTGCGAAGTTTGTAATTGCCTATTTGTTATATAGAGTTTCGTTTACTCGGTTCGGTTCAATTTTTCGTAGCGCTCCTTCTTTATGTGTTTTAAATGATGCAAGAAAGTCTTGAAGATTTTGTAACCTCACAAAATCTTATGAGAAGTAATATAGTGTGCATACAATATATGTTCATGAATACTTTCAAATGCAATTGGTAATAATATATTATTTCAAATAAATTTTATGGGTTAATTAAAATAAAAATTTTAATTAACTTCATTTGCAATTGAGTCACGAGTCATTTAGTAAAAATATCAAAGTATATGTAAACTTGTAACATATGTTTTTGGCAAAAAGCCGCCAAAATATTATACATATGCCACTTATTTATATACATATAAGTTATTATTTATTTATGTAAAATATTGAAGAAGTTGAATGACTTTTTGGCACAAAAGTATTAAGGATTTTTTAAGATCCTTATTCGTATATGAATTTCTAGTTTTAGAACTAAAAACTTTGGTAATAAGTGTACGTTGATTTAAAGTGTACCTTGTACGTCTTATATCTATAAATAGAATATTGACATTTGTTAAAGATATATAGATCTCCTTATTTATTTTCTATTGCAATATTGAATTTTCCATTAAAGGTAGTTGATAAACTGTCAAAAAATATAACATAACGAAAGCATGTTTAAATTTTAAAAGGTCAACGAGAATTCTAACTGATCAAAAACCATGTGCAAAATATTTGCAGAGAAAATATTTTTCTTGTGTTCATTGCTAGGCATCGAAATCGGTTAATCTTTTGTCGTGTATTTTAAACATAGGAAACCAGTTGAGCGCTGAATACATTGGTTGTAAATAAGAATCGATATTTGTTCAAAACACAATAGAATAATCAACAAAATAGTAAAATCGACGATCCAGACCGATCGAGAAATATAGTATGACCTTTTTAATGAAAAACTTTGTAATCCAATCGAGGATATGATTTGCCATGAATAGTTAAGCGACAAAAAAAAAACTGCATAGTTCCGTTGTCGTTGCAATGCAATATTTTTGTAGCGGATGCATAGCAGGGATGACCGTTTCTAACGAGCAAGCGTCGGAAGCCGTGCACGCCAGCCGGACGGCGGCGCGCTGCGCCTGCTCCGACCTCGCCAACTGGATCACGGCCGCTGCGCGAGACATACACGAGAGCCTGCTGCCTCCGATCGACCTAGTCACTGAAGCTTATAAGGAAGATTTGAAGAGTAAGCGTTGTTCGCAGTAGCTCGCATTTTTTAAGTATGAACTGAGTTAGTATTTAATTATCATACAATGCGTCCCAATTACGATTTAATTTTATTCGTGTAATAAATTATTATTACAATAGTATAGCAGGATCCCCAATCTGCTACGAGACGCAGGCCCATACAATATTTATAGTGCTTTTATCGAAAATCATAAATAATTTGGAACATCAATAAAAACTTCTTTTTAACTTTTATACATCGAGTGATACACGTGTTATTTATTAAGCGGACCATTTCTTAATGTTTTTAGTAATTGAATTGAATAATTAAATTGTAACTTAGTCTGTATTAATATTATAAATGCGGAAGTAACTCTGTCTGTCTGGTAGGTTTTACACAACTAAACTGCTAAATAGATTTTGACGAAATTTGAGATAGTTAGAAAATATACCTTAGGGTAAAATAAAAGTTGATTTCTGTCTATCTCTTTCCGTTGGTCTGTACGTCTTCTTATAACCGATTTTGATGAAATTTAGTATTTGAACTCATCATTGCATAAAATTTATATTACACATTATATATGTCTTGTAGTAACTAGAAAATTTAAATCATTATTTTTATTTTATTTAGTCATTTATGTCTATTCTCTCACTTTACCCGGTGGAGAGGGATGACGAAGAAAAATGTGGATCAAAAAAAAAGGAAAGAGAAAGAGGGAGACGGAGTAAGAGGATGGTAGAGAGGGAAAATGAGAGTGAAAGGAGGAGCGGAATAGAGGCCGGGTGAGAAGAGGGATTGAGGACATCGAGAACAAGACCCAGATCCGTATTCGTCATTATCTGATCCCACTGAATCAGGATTTGGGTTTAGTAGATTGTTTTTGAGATTAGTGGATTTAGTAGTGGGTTTTAATAAAAAATCAAAATCTCTATCCAACGCGCGTGGAACCGGGGGAAAAGCTAGTGTAAAGTAAAATATTTAAAAGTTCAAAATGTTGAAAACTTCCTAAAATATTGATGACTGATCACTGCCGTGGCCTGGTTTAAATTCTAATCGAATGTAGCCGTTTTTAAAATAGGCAATTGCCTTTGAAGCTATTACCTTGTTGGCCTTCGCCGGTTATAATTAGGTTTTCCATTTTAAATTCCAAATAGTCTCAGGAAAACAGAGCGTGATACATTAACACATACATTTGTAATCAATATCTAAAATTTTAAATCTATAAGTTTTTTAGTAATATTTAACTTGCTTTAATTAGTAATAAATAAAATTGTTTATTCGAATGCAAGTTTATTAGTTTTAAAAATTTGGAACTATTTTAATCATAGCGTTAGACTAAGCTATGGGTCTATGGTCTGATTTTAATGAAGGTATGGCAATTATATAATCTATGACATCAGTCCTGAAGTAGAATTGAGAACACGAAATTATTCTACGCTTTGGGGAAAGTCACGAACAGACGAAGAAGCTGTTGACGTAAGTTATAGAATCTATAGTATTTAAAATTTTGAAGCAACAATAAATGATTTCATATTTCTATTTACAATCAGTATTTTAGAGAAGAATTTTGTCATTGACAATCTGAGGAATGTAGGGGGTGGTCTTTCCGCTATGGTGTTATATGTCATATTTTCAACAGTTTTGGGATTACAAAGATGTTTGAGATGACAATACGTGCGAATTCATAAAGGCTACAAAATACAAAATAAAAAATACAAACGTTTTTAAGATTAAAAAAGAAACGTTTACAACAATGGAATAAAATCGCCTTTAAAACGCTATTTAATGGAATAAGTGGAAAAGCAGTTTCGCTCTCGAATTTATTGTCCGGCGGCGCTAGTAATCATTAAAGAGTCTTTACATTATTAGTTGAAGTGCACTTTACTTAAGTATTCTTATAGAAACTTTAAAAATATACTTATTCTTTATAAAATAAAAGTTCTACAGTTCATGCAAATCACATTCGTATTGACTCCCACATTTAACAAATTCACTCTATTTACACTGTTATCGCTAAAAAGTTAAGATATTTTTCTGCTTAGATTGTCATGTTGAAGTTATATGGATGAAAAGAATATTGAAGTACATTAATAAGTGATTTTATTCGTGTATATACTGGGTTACACTAGTAGCCACTGAAGAGTACTTTCTGTCGACAAATCATAGTATTATCCTCTAACTTCTAACTGTTAGAGTGTCGTGGTTTCTGTCATCAGCTCGAAGCATCAACTTCATTCTTTGTTGCAAACACTTGGATAAGTAATAAAAAAAAAACTGATTATCTGTAAAGTCGGTTTACGAGGGATAATTTTACGTGATAACGTGATAAGAAAATATTGTTCACGTGTTCACGTGTTCAGTTCACGTGTAGGTTGTGTGCGGCGGCTGTCTCTTTTCTACTCGGACGCATCGGCCAATGGAGTAGAAGAGAGATCGCTTGTTCCGCGCTCTCGCTCGCACGCTCGGCACAGGCGGAACGCGACAATGAGTCATGCTTTTTCATGCGTGCAGCCGGCGTTCATCGATTTATAAGATTATCACGTCAAGAAGAACACGAATAAACTATACTTGCCTGTGATATTTGAGAGTATCGCTCAATTTCTCTGAGATCCCATTATCAGATCCTAATTGGCGGTTATGGGACTATTTTGAGGATATACTTTTTCAAACAAAAAAAAAAAATTCAAATCTATTCACGAAATTAATGCAGAACATACGTAAAGAATGTATTCATACGAATGTAGAAGCTCCTCCTATTTGAAGTCGGCGAATATTAATTGTTTTTTGGGTAGTTTTAAGAGCCCCCTAACTAGACGAAATTTACAGGTTTTCAATTTTTGGTATAATATGTAAGAGTTTATTCTCGTTTTATTGACTTTTTTTATCATTTTCGAATATATCGATAAGTTTTTATGATGTTAAATTACATGCGAACGTTATTTAGATATATCTTGAAGTGATTCGATGGTTATGGTTTAAAAATATTTATCTCGAAATTTCTACTTTTCTTATGATAAAAAAAACATTAGATATACTTTTACCTAACGTTTACTTTTGTAAAATGTATGGTTTGTAAATATACATCTGTGCCTTGTATTGGTTTACAACAAATGAAATTCTATTAATATTGTATATTTTGAAAGCTCAAAAAAAATATGCAAATAAATAAAGTTTGTACATTCTTTTTTTTCCTGCACTTTACTAAAAACTTGTAATTTCGTCGTCTTCTCTAAGAGCTTTCCGAGTTTCATAGCGTTACATTGATCAGTCAGTATAAAAAAATGCAAATCGATTGACAAGGGTCCGCATGTCGGCTGTCGTTCGACAGCGCGTCATCGCGGGGGCGGGCGCGCGCACAGCCGGCTGTAGGGATCTCGGGCAAAAAATGTTTAAAAAACCCTCGACACTGATTGCTGTTGGCGTAAAGTTAGGGACGCAGTTTGATACTTCCCATTCGTCCAATGAATGTCGTTAATTAAGTCCAATCAACTTTCCTATGCTTTAAATTTAATTTAAATCAAATGATTCGAACATAGTTCCTTACTGCACGTTCAAATTAACTCGTGAACGTGCAGTAAGGAACTTCGAGGTTGAGGTACCAGCAGTTACACGAAAAAAAAGTGTAACCGTAACGAAAAATGCTTTAGTTAACATTTTTTATGAATTTGTTTGCCAACGTCCATACCACGCTGAACACATCGGATCTCGTCCGATCACACGAAGTTAAGTAGGGTCGGGTGCCCTCACTACCTACTTATATGGGTGACCGCCTGGAAACTCCGCGTGATGTTGGATTTTTTTTTTGGTGTTCCATTTTTTTATGGTAATTTATAATATAATTAATTACAATATTTATTATAAAATTTTATTACCGTTCTTTCATTCTTTTTGTTGTATTTTTCGTTTTATTACTTTCAAACGTTGTTATTTTAATTTATTTCAATGTGCTTGTATGTAGTGTACATTTTTTCCTAAAATATTAAATGAAACTCTTGGACATTGGACAGTTCTGGAGAGTATTAAATTTTAAACTTTCAATAAATAAATACTTATACAAATATATAAAAGTTACATCTATTATTAATTGCATAATTATATAATCGTGGCAAATGACAAACTTAACAAAGTCTGTAATTAATAAAACAGCGTTGTTTAGTTTTTTTTTTTACAATTATAATAATTTAAAAAAAGCATGTTTATTTACTACTTATGAATATTTCTATTCACTTATATAATTATTTATTTAATTACTTTCAATAATTTTAATTAGTTTTATTGTTATTATTAAATTAACGAAATATATTTCATAGCAAGAAAGGAACTTTGTTCCAATCGGATGTCCCAAAGAAGTTTTTTATTCAAATAATTCCGCTTTTTTTTTTTATAGCCGTCCATAATTCTAGACTATATTGTGTCATTATTATACCTAGTAGTTGTAAACAGTCGCAAATAGCAATTTCGGAAATGTTCCGGCCGATGAAATCCACAGATTTCGTAAATATGGGCAAATTTCGTACACAAACAAATAAAGTTCTTTCGTGTTATTTACTTGTATGAGAACTATTTTAATGTCTTTCCATTTATTTCGTTTGGGTAGTTCGCAATTCCTTATTTGAATGAGTATAACGATGTATAATAGAATAAACTATTGTTTTAAGTCCCAAAAAATTTGTATAACTACAGAGTTTATGTATAATAATGTAATAAAATTGGCCGAAAAAAAAAAAAAATTGGGTACGTGTACATAAGTACGCGCTTGAGAAGTTATACTTCTTTGGCATCATTAAAAACGAGCCCAAACTCGATGGGGTTGCGTCGTTTAATTACGGAGTTCCTATGGCCATCTTCCAGATCCATCATCAGACGCTGATTACCATAGAGTATCAAAGTACTCGTCAAGACGAATCAAACGAGCCCAAACTCGATAGGTTGCGTCGTTTAATTAGGAGTTCCTATGGCCATCTTCCAGCTCCATCATCAGACGCTGATTACCATATAGTATCAAAGTACTCGTCAAGACGAATCAAACGAGCCCAAACTCGATGCGGTTGCGTCGTTTAATTACGGAGTTCCTATGGCCACCTTCTAGCTCCATCATCAGACGCTGATTACCATATAGTATCAAAGTACTCGTCAAGAGGAATCAAACGAGCCGAAACTCGATGGGGTTGCGTCGTTTAATTACGGAGTTCCTATGGCCACCTTCCAGCTCCATCATCAGACCCTGGTTACCATATAGTATCAAAGTACTCGTCAAGATGAATCAAACGAGCCCAAACTCGATGGGGTTGCGTCGTTTAATTACGGAGTTCCTATGGCCACCTTCTAGCTCCATCATCAGACGCTGATTACCATATAGTATCAAAGTACTCGTCAAGAGGAATCAAACGAGCCCAAACTCGATGGGGTTGCGTCGTTTAATTACGGAGTTCCTATGGCCACCTTCCAGCTCCATCATCAGACGCTGATTACCATATAGTATCAAAGTACTCGTCAAGAGAATCAAACGAGCCCAAACTCGATGGGGTTGCGTCGTTTAATTACGGAGTTCCTATGGCCACCTTCCAGCTCCATCATCAGACGCTGATTACCATATAGTATCAAAGTACTCGTCAAGAGGAATCAAACGAGCCCAAACTCGATGGGGTTGCGTCGTTTAATTACGGAGTTCCTATGGCCACCTTCCAGCTCCATCATCAGACCCTGGTTACCATATAGTATCAAAGTACTCGTCAAGACGAATCAAACGAGCCCAAACTCGATGGGGTTGCGTCGTTTAATTACGGAGTTCCTATGGCCACCTTCCAGCTCCATCATCAGACGCTGATTACCATATAGTATCAAAGTACTCGTCAAGAGGAATCAAACGAGCCCAAACTCGATGGGGTTGCGTCGTTTAATTACGGAGTTCCTATGGCCACCTTCCAGCTCCATCATCAGACGCTGATTACCATATAGTATCAAAGTACTCGTCAAGAGGAATCAAACGAGCCCAAACTCGATGGGGTTGCGTCGTTTAATTACGGAGTTCCTATGGCCACCTTCCAGCTCCATCATCAGACCCTGGTTACCATATAGTATCAAAGTACTCGTCAAGACGAATCAAACGAGCCCAAACTCGATGGGGTTGCGTCGTTTAATTACGGAGTTCCTATGGCCACCTTCTAGCTCCATCATCAGACGCTGATTACCATATAGTATCAAAGTACTCGTCAAGAGGAATCAAACGAGCCCAAACTCGATGGGGTTGCGTCGTTTAATTACGGAGTTCCTATGGCCACCTTCCAGCTCCATCATCAGACGCTGATTACCATATAGTATCAAAGTACTCGTCAAGAGGAATCAAACGAGCCCAAACTCGATGGGTTGCGTCGTTTAATTACGGAGTTCCTATGGCCACCTTCCAGCTCCATCATCAGACCCTGGTTACCATATAGTATCAAAGTACTCGTCAAGAGGAATCAAACGAGCCCGAACTCGATGGGGTTGCGTCGTTTAATTACGGAGTTCCTATGGCCACCTTCCCGCTCCATCATCAGACCCTGGTTACCGTATAGTATCAAAGTACTCGTCAAGACGAATCAAACGAGCCCAAACTCGATGGGGTTTGCTTCGTTTAATTACGGAGTTCCTATGGCCACCTTCCAGCTCCATTATCAGACGCTGATTACCATATAGTATCAAAGTACTCGTCAAGAGGAATCAAACGAACCCAAACTCGATGGGGTTGCGTCGTTTAATTACGGAGTTCCTATGGCCACCTTCCAGCTCCATCATCAGACGCTGGTTACCATATAGTATCAAAGTACTCGTCAAGAGGAATCAAACGAGCCCAAACTCGATGGGGTTGCGTCGTTTAATTACGGAGTTCCTATGGCCACCTTCTGGCTCCATCATCAGACGCTGATTACCATATAGTATCAAAGTACTCGTCAAGAGGAATCAAACGAGCCCAAACTCGATGGGGTTGCGTCGTTTAATTACGGAGTTCCTATGGCCACCTTCCAGCTCCATCATCAGACGCTGATTACCATAGAGTATCAAAGTACTCGCCAACAGTCAATAAAGTTCAGTTTAAATTTTAAAAATTAAATAAATAATATTTTATTTTCTTATATTAAATGTACATAAATTCTGTCATTATTCGAAATTCGAATTCTAAGCGGGCAGCTTCAATCTGTTAATTTTGCGTCACACAATCTTAAAATTTCACTCTCATCATTTTTTCATAACGCGCCTAAAGAAGTATAACTGCAGAAAAAATTATTATTTACAGATGTGGTCCTGCTTCTGGGAGAGCCGGTACAGAAGGCTATTTCATCAGAAAGTGGAATAGATTTAGTACTCGATTCACTGAACGATATAACTTCAGGTAAGTAGAATGTACTCTTCTCTTAACTTACTTCAGAACCTATCGGTAGGAATGGGTTTTGTCTGCTATGTATTAAATATTCTCAATATATTATTATTTTGTAAGTTACGTAGATGAAATATTGTTCGTCAAAGTTAGGTTTTTTTTTTCTCATCACACGGGTGCACCCTTTGCTCGGTCTTAATTTATCGTACTTGGATCTTGGTGATCCACATTGGTCCACTGCGGGTGGGGACATATCAACGGGCGTTGTCGCCGATGCAGCGATAGCGTCCGAGGAAGCTGAACTCGCTTTCGAGACATGGAGCAAGTTGATTTAACTTGTCTCAGAATAAAAGCATGTCAGTAGATTCGTTCGTAGTTACAACGAATCGGACGAATTGAATAACTTCTTCGATTCAGGAATCGAAAATATCGTGATCATTCGGCTTATTCCACTTTTTTAAATATCCTCTTTTATGACTATTAAGTGACTTGTATTTATCATTGTCAATTAAATAGGTATTTAATTTAAATACTCATGTGGCATTAAACAATTAAATCCCGTTGTTAGAGAATTACAATGAATAGCTTAATTACAGGTGATACCTATAATTACAATGATTAGAACTATAAAAAATTGCAATGTGGAGTTTGTCTTGCTGTAAGTCATAGAAGAAGCCAGGAAAACGTGGTATTCCTTTTTTTAAGTGAATAATTATGTGATATTAATTATAGTATCACATAATTATTCTCTTTACACTAATGTGTAAAGGCGGCCGAAATTTTAATATTATGAAATATTTTTTGGGATTGTATTTTTAATGTCGGTAAAATAGCATGACAAGTGAAGTCTTAAGCATTACTCATTACTGTTTAAAATACATGCTCCATTGATAACACGCCATATAGTATGTGACTTTGAATGAAGATTTTTGATGGACGTGTATTACGTCAAAAACTGGAGAAAATCTTTCTCCAGTTCTTGAAATGGAACGCTTTAAGAGAATGGTTCTTATAAAACACTATTAATACAGCATTCGGTGATTGAAAAGATACCGATGTCTTGAGATATTAATAGTTCACATGTTGACTTTTGTAGTGAAATGACCTATAGCTAATGTATTCATTTTTTTACAGGACTACATTGTATATTTTAATGTATTTTAAGTTTATAAAATAGAATTCCTTTTATATTAGAGTAATCTTGTGATACCAACTTAAATATGGTAATATATTTCAGATTCTTTATACATAATTTAGAGTTTAACATTTTTATGACATATTTTTCTAAGTATGGTATGTAATTAGTTTGTATGGTAACTTATTAGGAACGATTAAAATACTAGTTTTAATTGTGCTTATTACGTTTCCATTTTAGATACTATACGTTATAATTTTCTACTAAAATTTTTTAAGGGAACTGACTTTGCACTCGTA